ATACATCCTGCATATCAGATATTTACATTATGATTCATAACAGTAGCAAAATTACAGTTATGAAGTAGCAATGAAAATAATTTTATGGTTGGGGGTCACCACAACATGAGGAACTGTATTAAAGGGTCGCAGCATTAGGAAGGTTGAGAACCACTGCTCTAGAACCTAACAAATGACACTTTTAAAAGCCTTTTGGCCTATATATCCACAAAGCTAGTAATACTTAAGGTGACTATCTCAATTAAATCAAGATATCTGTGTACCCAATGGAGAATCTTGGAAAGTTAGAGTTTTTTTTTAAAAGACTAATTTTTAAACTTTACTCACCACAACCTTTTAAATCTGTGGCAGAATTTGTAATGAACCCAACTTATCCTGTTTTCTGCTTTTAGAAATGCTTTTAGTTTAGGCATAAAAATTTCTGGCATGAAAATATTATGCTAAAACAATTTTTGTCTGGGGCTATTCTAAAGGATTTGCACATGTTTCTAAGCAGGCATGTAGCTTATGATGGCTGAATTTGCAAAGAGAAGGGGGATCCATGGCTAAGGGTGCAAGGCACATTCAGGGTCCCGGAGCCCACTGCTTCTCTGCCCCTTGCCACGCCACTACACCAGCAGCCACGTCATTGCTAGTGTAGAGCAGGCGTGGAGCAGCCTGTGCCTTCAGGATGAATGTCTCCAAAGAGAGGGTTTAGGCTAAGCAGTACCCTGACTGCGTTCCCTACAGCTGCTCACACATCAAATCCTGCTCCACACAGCCTAACAGCATGGTCCCTGCCAGCCAACTCCAAGCTACTTTCACTGAGGTCTGGGGATCTGCTGGAGAGGCAGGGAAACAGCAAAGACGGAGAAGAATACATAGATACAGGCTTTGTCTTGGGGAAACTATGCCACCCAATAAAGTTTTACAAGGTCCTTTGCCTCAGACCTGCTGGCTGTTCTGATAATAATGACAGGTGGGGGCTCCTGGAGTCTGGAGCCCATTTCTTAAACTGAGAGATTTGAGGGTGCACTTGCTGCAGCTCCACCAAACTTAGTTGGAAATGTTGTTACTACAAAGGATTATCTCATCACCTTCCTTTCCCGGGTCCCAACCCCCAATCTCTAAGCAGCTCCTAAACAATAAATCAACGTTGTTGCTATTTGTCGTGGGTGATTGTGAGACCAGTAAAGGAAACTGCTTGGTGCCAATTCTTCCACCAGAGAGGCCCAAAAGGAGGCCATAGAAAGGGCCTGAAGAGCAAATGAAAGACTGGGCAGGAAATCAAACAACAGCAGAGCCTAACCAAAAAGTACTCCCTCTTATCCGTCTAATCCTACTTTAGAAACAAAGCCTTTGGTATCAGCACGCCATCTTTACCACAGTGTCTAAGTGAGTGACTTCTCTGACCCTTAGTTTCCTCATCTGCAAAATGGGTGAGATGAGTCTACAGATTCAATGGGATGCTCAGTATGGAGACGGGCGTTTCAGACAGCGCTCAAAAGCCAGCTCCTTTTCCTCATGGAGGTTTCCAGTTAGCAAAGGGGAGGCTCCAAGGGGTTGTCTCCCGCCCCCAAAGGCAGTACAGGTCGCAAATGCCAAGGCTCCTGGACTGGGCGGCAGACAGGCCATCACGTGCCGCGCCGGCAGGCGGCTCACGGAGGTGCGAAGAGCACGTGCGCATGCGCGCTGGGCAGGTGCGCCCGGCGGGGGTCAGCTCCCGCGCCAGGTGGCCGAGAGCCGGCATGCCCCTCAGGGCCCCGCTACACGCAGGCGCGGGAGGGGTCTCGCGCTCACGCCCAGCCTCCCCGCACCCACCGGGCTGTCTCTCCC